TATCCAATCTTCGTCCGCGGACCCAGCGGCTGGCGCCGCGTCTGCGGGTGACCCCGCTTCTTTGCTGGATTCTGCGGGTGACCCCGCCTCTTTATGGAATCGGCGGTTCCATTCCTTGAGGCGATGGTCATTGGGAAGCTGTACCCAATTTTCCCTGACAGTGTTGGCAATCTCCTCGGTCATAGGGACGCGATCGGCTTCAGTGATGCGCTTTCCTCCTCCAGGGACCTCCTTATTAGGATCATGGACGTTGCCAGCGTCATCTCCATGAGACCAATTCCACGGGGTCTCACCGTGATGAGGACTCCTGGAGGGGCGGTCCATTGGACAGCTGCGCATGTGACCTTTGAAGGGCTCGCATTGACATACTTGTTTCCTGTATGTCTTGCGATCGTTGATTATCTCCTGTTTCTTAGCCCTTTTGTCCCAAGCCTCTGGCGTTTTAGTCTTGCCACCCTTGGTGCGTATTATCATGCCAGATTCGTCCCTTTTGGTGCAATACTCCTTAGAATACCAGTGGCGGATCACGTCCATCGAGTAGCCGGGGTACCAATTGATGTACCACTCCGGCACGTACTGAGCGGATGCACCTACGGAGTGCTCCGTGCTGTACGGGTAGCCCGATGCATCATGTGTAGGGCGTCGTGGAGCTGAACGGCTCCTTCTGCGGGCTGGCCCCGCTGACGCACTGCCACGTCCCATGGGCCTTTGATCGTCATGCTCTGAGTCTCGGGGAGGCGATGGTCGTCTGTCCCTCTCGGCATGGCGCATGTCCTCCGAGTCCTCTGAGCTGTCCTGGACCATGAATACGTGCTGATACGGGCTTCGGAAGTACCCGATGTCGTTGAGCTGCTCCATCGTGAGGTCGTTGAGGTCCATCTGGTCGCAGCCCTGCATGAATACATCCATAGACCAAGCGGGTGGCCCCGCTGCTGCGGCTGGCGTCTCTTCGGCGGGTGACCCCGCTAGAGCCTGGAGTGCTGTCAGCATCTGAGGTGCCGACATGTCCGAATCCAGGTATGGACGCAGCCTTGCGGCCCCTGGGCGCGACAGCAGGTCGTTCATGGTTATCTGCTGATGTGCTGGCGCACTCAGGAGCCGGATTGCTTCTGCGACCTGCTCTTGGAGCATGTCCTTATAGTCCTCTTCGGCCTCTTCAGAGTCAGAATACGCGGGATGGCCCCGCATTTCGTCATCAGCGTCTCCCGCTTCCGAGCCAGCTCGCGGAAGATCTGGCAGCAACGGCGTGCCAATCACCTGCGGTGCCAGCGCGGCGGCGAGCTCTTCCTCGGTCGCCGGGACGGTCTCAGCATCGGAGATCTCGTCGTCGGCGGGTGGCCCCGCTGGAAGACCGAACCAGGCATTGAACGCGACCTCGTCGACTTCGTCCCAGCCGTGGAACTCGTCGAAGAGGGTCACCGCGTAGTCTTCCAGGGCTACGGTCACTTCAGCGTAGCGGGCCATCACGTAATACGTGGAGGAGCCCGCGGCGGGAGCCGCTTCTGGATTGACGTAAAACTCGTAGTCAATGTAGTCTATGTCATCCATAAAAGAGTTTTGAGCCAAATGTACGGATCCCTTTCCTTTCCCTTTCGGGCATTGATCGCGCAAATGCTCTGTACTACCGCATGTATGACACTTCATAGTATTGCCAGAAGCGTCCCTAGGGTTGCCCCTCCGCCCTTTTCCCTTACCAGAGGTCCGCCTGTGACCCCGACCTTTGCCTCCGATAAGAACTTCTTCAAAAACTATATCAGTTAAGGACGTGAGGAAAGCAGTAATACCCCTACCATGCATACGGCGTCTGCGACCCCCTTTGCCACGACCCTTTCCATATCGTTTGAAATGTCGGCGTACTGCACGTCTCACTTTTCTGACTGGTTTCTTCATAAAGCGCCTCCAACGGCGTTTTGATTTGCGATAAGCCATAAAAGCGGCTTCCGCTCTTTGTTGTTCAGAAAGGTGAGTGTCATCCGCTGGATAGTCATTACCAGCAGAGACTATGCCATTGTGCTCATCGTCAGATGAGGTATCTGTGTCAGTGCCAGATTCAAACGGTGAGGGTGGCTGAGACCCTTGAGCGGATGACTCCGCTTGGCCCCAGAGGGTTGTGCCCGAGGGCGGGCTTGCAGTGTAGGCGGCGCCTGGCGAGTAGTTCGACCAGGCGTTCGCCTCAGCTGCCTCTGCCGATGCCTGGCCGGTCTGCCCTAAGAAGGCAGTGGCCTCGTTGGGCATATCGGCTGGGTCAGCCCAGGGACTTGGCTCGCCAGGACCAGCGGGTGACCCCGCAGTCGTGGCGTAGACACCTGCATGTGAGTGGTGCCCTGTGAAGATACCCGCAATGTTGCCAGGAGAGCGCTCGGCAACATGTCCGTAGTTCCTCATCCTGGTCAGCAGCCTGTCATAGTCTGCTTGTGTTCTGGGCATCTGATGATTAAAGGGCTCCAGCAGGTGTTGGGCTCGTGACGCGCCAACGCCTAACGCTCTGAAAAGGATCAGCGTTAGGATCTGAAAGTTGGGGATGACAAAGCCAACAGAGTTAGCCTCGTCACGGGCCACCTCGAATCGAGCTAACACTGAGTCGATTCGCTCGCCCCTTTCGACGCGAAAGTCGATAAGGGCAGTGCCAGAGTTGAGCTGGCGCTCATCTTCCAGATTTTCAAATTTGGTGCTCAATAGGTACAGTATATAAGTAACTGCATCCGTTGGCTGTCCATTGACAGTTACACCATAGTTGATGATCTGGGAGGGGACCTGCATGGCGATACGACGAGCAAGACCTTGAAGGCCTCGTTGTAGTGCTGCAGCTTGTTGAGGTGGCGTCATATTGCCGCTCGTTACGTTTATCCATGCATGTACTTCGCGAACGTATTCGCGAAAAGGCGTAGTACCGGCAGGGTCCCACGAAGGGCCAGTAGTACGCGTGTCGTCCATCCCCTGCCGCATGTATCCCACAGCACATCCCATTATTACCCACAGAATGCCGAAGATAGTTATCTTAATCCAATGCATGTGCATTTCGGCTTCGGTGATTGGTTTAGGCTGTGGTTTGTCAGGCTCTGGCGTAGTAGCCGTGAGGCGCCTGACTGGCACGGGATGCAGGTGGCCCCGCTGCGGGTAGCCCCGCAGGGTGACCACGTTCTCGATCGAGTTGCCGATTGGCATCTGGTGGAAGTCGAGAGTGAAGTAGCGCAGTGAAGTAGGAGAGAGCGTCTCGAGTTCGCGGGTTGCCCCGCTAGCTCGATCGCGGACTGGCTCCGCTCCTCGCAGAGCCGGCGCAACATGGTATTCCACCGTAGTAGTAGTCCACCAAGTTGTGCCGTGGATTACAGGAATCAGAGCGAGAGCCAGCCACACGAGAGTGTAGCCAGCTCCGCTACCAAGTCGAAAACATGCTGGTAAGCTTAGGTATGTGTTACGCTTCAAGCGTTGCCATATCCCAGGCTTTGGCTCATATCGCATGAGCAAGAGAGCGAGACGAAACATGGGATCTGGAGTAAAGGATAGAAGGGGCATCTTCAATGGAAAAGGTATTTTCCGATCTCAGATACCAGTCGTGCGCCTCGGTGAGGCACAGTCATATATTTGGCCGGGCCCGGCTTGAGCCAGGCACGGCAGCGGTACATGCTCGATTTATACCTCGCCTTTAACCTTCTCCGTTTAAAGTGGGGGGACTTGTTGTGGTCCGCTTTGTGGGGGGGCTTGTCCAGGCCCACGAGGGCCCCAAGACAGGCAAAGATGGCCCCAAGACCCCCTAAGACGGCCCCAGGAGCCCCCGAGACACCCAAAGACGCCGAAGATGACCTCCGGACGGCCCAAGAGGCCGCCGAGACGCTCCAAGAAGCCTCCAAGAGCCCTCAGAAGAGGACCTTTCGAGGCCCAAACCATAAATTGTAGGATGGTTTTGGAAGGATTCTGGCCTTCCCGCTTTTTGGGCTTCCCAACGCTTCAAGACGGCCCCAGAGGCCCCCAAGATCGCCCCAAGAGGCCCCCAAGAGAGTCCCAAGAGGTCCCAAGAGGCCCCCAAGGGGCCCCTAGCAGGACCCACGAGGCCCAGAAGAGGCCCCCAAGAGGCCCAAAAGAGGCCCCGAGGGTCCCCACAACGGCCCCCAGGATGCCTCAACAGTGTACCCATGAGGCCCCCGAGAGACATAACAATAGCATCAACAGCGCCCCGGACCGGCGGCACTGGCCAGAAGCCACTACAATATCGCGGTAAAGCGGAGTAGCCGCAACCGCGATTTGCTCTGCTGGTGCGTTGGGCCTCTTCCTTGTTGCCCACGAATGATGTATGCTTCTTGTGGAGCAGCAGCTGGCTTCACCCATCCAGACCAACGCGGGCCCACTTCTTGCTCCAAGTCCGAACGTATGTTGCACCCTGTGAAGGAGCGAAGCCAAGCAAACAGTCCAACACGAAGTCTCTCACGCTCGCAAAAACACGCACGTGTCCCCCTCCTCCGCCGACTCGGTGATCCACGCGTGTGCCTCCAAACCTACAGGTGGGAGCGGCATGGAGGCAGGCGCGCGAAGGGCGGCGAGGTGGAGCCTGGGCGAGCGGGAACGAGGGGGGGGCGGAGCAGGGGAGGGGATGGACGAGACGGCTCTGGGGCGGAGGTGGCATGCGGCACGGGCCTGGGCTGAAGTGCGCGGAAGAGGAGGAGGAGGAGGAGGAGGAGGAGGAGGAGGAGGAGGAGGCGGAGGAGGAGGAGGAGGAGGAGGGAAGATGGGAGGAGGGAAGAGGGAGGAGGAGGAGGAGGAGGAGGAGGAGGAGGAGGAGGAGGAGGAGGAGGAGGAGGAGGAGCGCGGGGAGCAGGCGGGCGGTGCGAGGCCGGCCGCGCCGAGGCCCCGTGTGGTGCTGGCCCGCTGCTGCGGCCGAAGGGCGGCGCGGCGCGGCCCCGGCGGCCCGAGGGCCTCGTGAGCCGCACGCCTGCCTGGCAGACCGGCCGGCCTCCGGGCAGGGCCGGGCGGACGTGTGCGACCACGGCATTTTGGCCCACGCCTCAGTGCCCCAGGAAGAGGGCACGGTTGTAGTTGTTCTGCTCGTTGGGCACCAGGATGACGCGCACGGGCAGGTCGTCGAAGAGCTCGGGGGGGCGGGGGAGGGGGGGATTGCGGAGGGGAGGGGGGGATGAGGATGGGTGGGTCGGGAAGGAGGATGAGAAACCAGGGGTGGGGGAGGTAACAGAAAAGGGGAGGAGGGGGAAGGAGTAGGAGCAGCAGAAGGAGGAGGAAGACGAGGAGGAGGAGGAGGAGGAGGTGCGTGTAGGAGGACATCCTTCCCTGGTAAATTGAAGCGCCCTGCTGAACAGTGTCCTTGAGGACATTGTCCATGAGCATCAAGGCCGTGAAATGCAATGTAAACGCAAGCCAGTTCAGTGAGCTGGACTTTCACAGTATTCTCTTACAGTGGCAAGAACCTCCCTTGAGTTGTACCCCAGGAATTCAATGCTAAGGACACTGATGCAATGCAAACAAATACCAATGCGCAACGACGCAATGCGAACCAGAACCCCGTAATGCAACTCGGGGCGACGCTGACCCAACCTGTTCCATAGCAGGCATCAAAGCACACAACAGACATTACACCAACCCGCTCCAACGTAGGGCAAGCCAGCTCAAGAAGAACCACCCCCGCAACAAACAGTTGAAGGGAACCATCTTAAGTTACCTCCAGCTCTCAATCAACATGACTTCAGTTGGCATGATGTTTGGCTTGTTTGCGGCTTCTCCCGACGAAAAAAATATACTGAGAGTCAGGGCGCACTGTGCCCATCAGCCCCCAACTGGCCCACATGATCCTTCCTCTTACACCGCTGCTGGTCTATATTCTCTAGAGATCGCGTCGCGCTGCCCGCTTTCTGTGTCCAAGGCCTAGCTCCGGGAGCCTCTGGGCGGACAGACACTTCTCCGATCCCCGCGAAACGGTGCGCTTGTATGCCAAATGAGTTCAAACAAGTGTCGTGCATTCTGCTGCTATGTGCGTGCGCTGCCTTCGAGAACCAACGCAACCAGTGCATCGGACATCACTTCGCGATGGCAATAGGCTGCGTGGTTTGACGACATGGGCAACCTGCTCTTAGCCCAACGCCACTCCTCATCGTGCATCTCTTCATCCCTGTCCTCCCTCACCAAGACGCTCCAATGTAAAATCCAAGCCTGGACAATGAAACACTGTGAGTGCGCACACATTGTCCCGGGAGGTTCTGTTTCGGCAGGAACATTCGAAACATCGGCAAGGGGTCGGATAGTCCAGAAGAAGAGCGTGCGACTATGGACATGTGAAGCATTATGCGGGATGCAAGAGGACATTGCACACATGGGTCGAGTGCAATCGCGAGCGCCGCGTACTGCAGTGTCGTGTCGTCAGGATGTGCTCCACGTGGTACATTGCAGCACAATGCGTACGCACCCATCACACCAAGGCTGATCCCAGGACTAACTCTTGCGGTTCCATCACGATGCTTATGCGGCCCAAGGGTGCCCCTAGCTGGCCTTAGAGCATCACCCCCCAAGGATGCAATGGTTCAGGGCCTCATGGGAAGAGTGGGAACGCATGCGGTGTTCCATTTGACTCGTCGTCGTCGTTGTCGTCAGGCCTTTCCAATGTTCGTCTCCCCATGCCAGGAACACCTCCTTGTCGGCCCCGAACACTTAAACAACATCTGGCAAATATGTGTTCGGGTGTCTTGCAAGGAATGCTGGGGGTAATCCTCTTCTCATACTTGTCCCGACCTTTTCCTTCCCTTTCCACCAGGGTGTGTTTGTACTATGCTCCTTCCGCGGCGGCCCCTTGACGAATGTTGCGACGACCTTGCTCAATCAAATGATTGCGCGAAGAATCTGGGGTTTCCTCAAGCTTATTCCGCTTTTCTATTTCAATGGGGGACCTTCCACGTCATGGGTCTTTTGATGGCCCCGAAACAGGCGCGGTCAGGCTTTTCAAACCAAAAAAGATATTGGGGCCCCGCCTCTCAACCACGTCCGCAACCAAGCGTTCTACTCTGTCCTGTCCTGGTCACCGCCCGCTCCCCACCACCTGGAAGGGGGAAGTGCCGGCGCACGGGCGATCCTTCTTCGCAGCCTGCAGCTCCCTCTCCGGGCAGGAGAACGTCGCCACCTCGCCCCTCCCTCGGGGGCGCTTGGCCAGGAGCCGAGAGCAACGCTGACGGCATCTGGTGCAAGGAGGCTCGTACAGGAATCCGGCACTTCAAGCGCGAGCCTGGGGTTGGGAGCTAACCAAAATGCCACCCCGAGGCTTGCGCTTGCGGGGCGCTGCAAGGTTGGAGTACCCACTCAGGCTAGCTCCAAGCAAGGCTGCTCCTCGACACTGGCTTCCATCGGTCGGCCTTCGGCCCACATTATCTTTTTGTGTGTCGGCTTTTGCTCGAACGCACTCGTCACAAACACGACGTCTGCAACTTGCACCGGCGCGCCCCGCCCATGCTAACCAATGGCTGGTGAAACTCCGCCGCGGGAAAAGGGTGCGTGTGTGCGAGTTCGGAATGAATCGGTGATGGAAGGACCAGATGATGAGAAGGAGGAGGGCAGGCATCCCAAAGAAAGGGAATTGAACAGAAATGGGCTCGCCCTCAATGCGTTTACATAATATCGACTCCGACGGAAGGACCCCGCATGAGCATCTGTTCGGCTTGCCCTTCGCCCTTCCCTCCTCGCCGTGGCGGACACCCTCCTCTCGCCCTCTGCTCTGCCCGCTCCTCCTCCTCCTCCTCTTCCTCCTCCTTCTGTTTCTCCTCCTCCTCCTCCTTCCATTTATCTTCCTCCTCCTCCTCCTCCTTGTCCTCCTCCCCCTCCTCCTCTTCCTCCTCTTTCACCACCTCTTCATCATCACCCTCTCTCCACCCCTTCCTCGTCCTCATCCTCCCCCTGCTTCTTTTCCATGTGCTTTCCCATTTCCCCCTGGTCGGGGCAAGCACATCGATTTTCCTCGGCGCCGTCCCCGCCTCGGCCAGCGCGCGCGCGTTCGCCGACGGCTGGTTCGTGAAGCCTTTGGGACAGCCCCGCGGGCCATGCCTTTGGGACAACCCCGCGGGCCGCTGGGGCGAGGGGGCAGGCCGTCGGGACAACCCCGCGGGCCAGACCGTTGGGACAACCCCGCGGGCCTCTAGCTGCTCGCCGCGGCGCTCACGGGAGAGGCAAAAGACGCTGCCGCCTGATACTTCCTCCATATTGAAGCCTCAGGAACCCAAAAGTGACGACGGTTAAAGGGTTGAGGATGACCCGCTCGGGGAGGGGGGCTCCCGCCTGATACTTCCTGACGATTCCTCACAAACGAGGCTCCCGCCTGATACTTCCTACCTGTTCAAGCCTGAGGAGCCCAAAAGTGGCGACAGTTACAGGGTTGAGGATGACCCGCCCGGATTACCAATATGGAATGCGGGACCCATAGGGAGAGGGCTCCCGCTTGAAACTTCCGCATAGTTCACTCACAAACGAAGCTCCCGCCAGATACTTCCTACATATCCAGGCCTTAGGAGCCCAAGAGAGACGACAGTTACACGGCTGAACATGACCCGCTCGGATTACCAATATGAAGTGCGGGACCCAAAGGGAGGGGGCTCCAGCCTGAGACTCACTCAAAATTCACTAACAAAAGAGGCTGCCGACTGAGACGTCCTCCTTATTCAGGCCTGAGGAGCCCAAACATGACGACAAATACAAAGTGAGGATGGCCCGCTCGGATTCCTAACATGAAATGCGGGACCCATAGGGAGAGGGCTCCCGCCTGAGAATTCCTCACTGTTCACCCACAAACGAGGCTCCCGCCTGATACTTCCTACATAGCCAGGCCTCAGGAGCACAGACGCCACGACAAATACAATATTGAGGATGACTCGCTCGGATTACCAACGTGAACTGCGGACCCATAGGGACGGGGCTCCCGCCCAAGACTCCCTCAAAATCCACTCACAAACGAGGCTCCCGCCGGAAGCTTCCTACAGATTCAGGCCTCAGGAGCTCAAACGTGACGACAATTACAAGGTTGAGGGTGACCCGCTCGGATTACCAACGTGAACTGCGGGACCCATAGGGAGGGGGCTCCCGCCTAAGATTTCCTGACAATCCACTCACAAACGAGGCTCCCGCCTGATACTTCCTACATATCCAAGCCTGAGGAGCCCAAAAGTGACGACGGTTACAAGGTTGAGGATGACCCGCTCGGATTACCAACATGAAGTGCGGGACCCAAACGGAGGGGGCTCCCGCCTGAGGGGGCTCCCGCCCGCTTGGTACTTCCTCCATACTCAAGCTAGGGAGTGAGTGATGACAAAGAGATGAGTGAGTGACGAAATGATGAGTGCGTGAATGATGATGATGATGGTGATTGAACGGGTGATGATGATGATGATGATGATGATGATGATGATGATGATGATGATTGAATGAGTGAGAAGGTGAGCGAATGGGTGAGTGATCGAGTGATGATAATGGTGATCATGACGGTGGGTGTGAGTGTGTGAGTGAGTGAGTGTGGGTGTGAATGTGTGGGTGATGACGATGAAGTGCGCGAGGCGGAGAGGGGAAGTGAGTGTGTGAGTGTGAGAGTGTGAGAGTGTGATGCTGATGAGGAGGAGGAGGAAGAGAGGGGGTGGGAGAGATCCTGAGCGGGGTGTGCGCAGAGAAACCAAGAACCCCACTTTGGATGTGGTGAAACAAACGAATGAATATATACAGTATGGCGCCCCGCCGATTGTTTTCAACGCGCCCAAGCAGACGAAGCTGGCGCCGCGGCATACCCACAACAAATCTTGCGTCCGAGGCGTGCGGAGTTTGCCCTGGCGGCCGCGGCGCCCTCTCAAAGGCGGAAGGCCGCTCGTCGGAACAAACGGCGCGGAGACATATACACATTTACTTGTAGAACTATGGCGCCCACGTGCAAGGCCGTCCATCGCGGGCCCTGACGCCTTCCGGGGCGGGGGGGACGAGTTTCGTGGTTCCTCCCAGCGCTGACCCGTGGCGCCCACGCGTCCACCTGGACGGCGAGGGCATGATTACTAAGCGACCGGGATCGAGAGGAAACTCCTGGATCACGAGCAGATCGAGAGGAGGGCGAGAGCGGGAGAGCAGCGCCCAGAGAATGCCGCCGAGTCGGCAGGATCTCGGCCCAGAAGCCTGGCTTGGCCTCGGCCCCTCGGCCTCTGCTCCTCCACAAGCTCAGATTGGATGTGCTCTGGGCAGCTTTCGCTTCGCGGTCTGCCCCCTCCTCTGTCTCTCTGAACATGCCTCCGCCGCCTCCCTCTCTCACTCTCTGTCTGTCCATTGACAGGGATGGGCAACCCAGCTTCAGGCACGAGGTGCGGATCTGAGGCCCATAAGGGGACAACCTCCCTGGGGAGGGCACGCGCCCCTGAATTTGAAGGCATGAAGTCCTAGGCCACTGTCGCCCTGGCATTCCACGGACAAGGGGCCACTCGGTGGTGCTCTTCAAGTTCAGGTACTCTTCGCGACGCCCCGTGGGTCCTCGGAGCCTGTCCCCACACCCAAGATAACACGAATGGCGTCGGTACGTTGGGAGGGCGGGAGGGGGGCAGGGAGTGGGGAAGAGAAGCATGAGGAGGAGCAGGAAGAGGAGGGCGAGAAGGAGGAGGAGGAGAGCGAGAAGGAGAGCGAGGAGGAGACCGAGGAGGAAAGCGAGGAGGAGGAGGAGGAGGAGGAGGAGAATGAGGAGGAGTATGAGGAGGGGGCGGAGGAGGAGGAGAGCGAGGAGGAGAGCGAGGAGGAGGAGGAGGAGGAGGAGGAGGAGGAGGAGGAGGAGGGGAGGTGAGGGGAGAGAGTAGGCGGACGAGGAGGAGGAAGAGGAGGAGGAGAAGAAGGAGGCGGAGAGGAGGGCGAGAGGAAGAGCAGCCCGAGCAGCCACCCCCCCGCCCCGCCCGCAGCGCCGCGGGCGCCCTCAGCAGCTCCGCCGCGGGCGCGCCGAGCTCCTCCAGCCAGGCCGTGGTGTGCTGCGCGTTGCCGACCTCTGCGCGAGCCCAAGGGGGGGGACCGGCCCCTCCTCCCTGGAGATTGACCCTGGCCCACCAGCCACCCAGCCACCCCTCGTTCCTCCTCCTCCTCCTCCTCCCTCCTCCTCCTCCACCTCCCTCCTCTCCCCTTTCCTCCTCCTCCTCCTCCTCCTCCTCCTCCTCCCTCTCCTCCTCCTCCTCCTCCTCATCCTCCTCCTCCTCCTCCTCCTCCTCCACCCCTCCCTCCTCGGCCTCATCGTCCTCCTCCTCGTCCGTCACGTCGGCGGCGCACTGGCGACGTCGGCGTGAACAGCACCAGGCTCCGCATCGAGCCGCACTGCATGTGCATCGGCGATGCGGCGCGATCCTCCGACCCCCTCCACTCGGACCCCATTTGGGAGGCCTGGACTCGCCGCGCCCCCTTCCCTTCTCGCCCTCCTCCTGCCGCTGCCACGCTTTGCCCTCGGCCCTTGAAGATCGATGGGGGGGGGGGTACGTCTCTGGAATTTCTTGGCCCTCCTCGGGCCCCCGGAGGTCTCCCGTGCCCTCGGGGGTTCGGGATCGGGGGATGGAGGGCGGCCGTAGAGCTTACCACCTGCTGCCGCCGCTCCCGCGCCGAGCCCCCGTCTGGCCCTGGCCGGAGCGCGCATCGTGCGCTCTCAAGACGTCACGCGGCGCCAGGCAGGGGCCAGCGACTGGGATCGCAAGTGAGTCGCTCAGTGGATGGAGGGGGCCGACGGGAGAGGGCGGCAGGGACGCAGACACGACGGACGAGACACGACATACGCGACCCGTCCCCTGCTGCTCCCGCATCCTGCTTCTGCTATACGGCTGCCGCTGCATCTTTCCCGCCTCCTCATAAACACGGTCGGGACCTCTGCTTATCCCTTGGGGCCGGGTCGCGTGTGGCTACGCTCGGCGGAGCGGGAGGCTTGAACAAACTCGCGACGCTGACGACTGGGGACGGGAATGTGGATAGCGTGTCGCGCCGAAGCGTGGTGGGCCAGAACTGGCGAAGCGACACGCCATCCTACAGTTCCTGACCGTATCTCGTCCACCACATCATTATCATTCGGCTCCTCCAGCATGCCCATCTCCTCATTGCTGCGTATACCACCATGTATGCCCACGCCCTCGCTGCCGTCTCCCTGTGCTCGGGTGCTCGCTCCTCACGTGCTCGTGCTCGTCCTCCGCCTGCCCCCGCTACAGCGCCTGCCCGCCGCACCTCCGCGCCTTCATCCCAACTCCCCTTTCCCTTCCACGTGCTCCCCATGCAAATCCCGCTCCCAGACTGGCGCCGCGTCCTCCTCGCTCTCGTTCGCTTCATCGTCCGCGAGATCACCAGTACTCCTCGACTGCACGATCGAGAAAGCTTCCCTGGCGCGCCGCGGCGCCGGCCCTGGCGGCACGCCGTGCCCTGCGAGCGGACGGCGCGTCGCTCCGCTCCGCGGCGCCGGGAGGCCCGGGAAGTGCCGGGACGCGGAGGGCTGGAGGTGGGGACGCGCCGAGGCGTGGTGGGCCAGGACCGGCGGCGCGGCACGCGGAACCGCTGCCCCGGACCGCATATAGACCCTCGTCTTCCGCAGTGGCCCAGCAGGAATCCTGCTCCGCCTCCGCATAATGTATTTGCTATTTTGGGAGATTCCTCCTACAGAGGGACGGGCCCGACTTAACTCTCGCGCCCACGCGCCAGCCCCGCGCATCTGCAGTCCGCAGCAGCGCGTGCCCGGTCGCAAGAATTCATAGGTCCGCTGTTCTCCCCGAGCAGCTGGCGCACGTGCTCCCGAGCCTTTCGCGCACCGCCTCCGCGACCAGGATGCGCGACGCCCGGATGTCAGGCTCCAGGAGGGCCCACTGCGATAAGGGCGACCCTGCCGCCCGGCCCACCTCGGCTCAAAATCGGTCCCCGGACATAAAACAGGGCTAGGATCGGGATAAATCGCTCCAGAGCGTTCCGGAGCGCTCTCAGAGCGTTCCGGAACGCTCTGGAGCGGCCGCGGCGCCCAATACATCCTCCAAACCCGCCGATTCTCAGAGATTTTCGAGTTATCCCGATCCGATGTTGTCCCGATCTTCGCGTCGTTTTAGGACACCTCCAGGGTCCAGTCTGACCCTTCCTTCGAGTCGGTTCCGGTCGTGGCAACCGAGAAGCCAACGGGAGGCCCCTGAGGAGGGCGGGAGAATCGTCAGCGAGGGCCGCCGTTGGCTCGACGGGCCCACCTCCGACTGCATCGCGCAGGCTTCGTTCGAGCCTCGAGGGGCACCCTGGCAGGAACTACCGCGTGTGGGACACTACGAGGGCACGCGATTCCACCACTCCTCCATATATATATATATATATATATATATATATATATATATATGGTACTCCCTGGAGGACCCTTGCCGTGAAAAAACACCTTCCTCCTCCTCCCGAGGAGACCAGCACCCCCCCTGGGAGAGAAGCAGTCCGTCTTGCGCGCAAGAGGGCGGTCTCTCGCAAGCCCTGGGCAAGTACGCTTCGATCCACGCCCTCGCCGTGCCAAAGGCGCCCCAAAGCCCCCCCTCTTGCATGGGACAAACACGAGTCCAATCCCACTGGCCCTCGGGGCGTAGGTGGTCCAACGACCTTCGTTCGTCCTCTTCCGGGGCCCCTCCCTGAGGCTGCTTGGGCCGCCCTCCGCTGTGTGTCAGGGGACCCGCGGTGGCCTACGCCAAGGGGCCCCGATGCTCCAAGGTGGTCCTCAAGACGATTCATGATAGCCCCCAAAGGGTTCAAAGAGGCCTCCGACATGCCTCCAAGAGGTCCCCGGAGGACAAGACGGCCCCATGTGCTCTCCTCCGAGCCCCCCTGTCAGATCTTCCAAAAGAGGCCCAACTCCTGAAAACAACGGAGGACACTAAGTGATGCTTGCTGCATCGCTACGTTGCTTCCGATGAGGTTTCCACGAGATGGCCAAAGAGAGCCCCAAGAGGGACCTAATAGGACCCCGAGACGGCCCCAAGAGCGCCCGAAGAGCGCCCCAAGAGGCGATTTGGATGGTTCCAGGGGGGGCAAAGATAATTCAGGACGCCCCTCTTTTCATCGGCGCCCTCCAAACCGGTCCCAAGAGGCCCTCCAAGGCTCCCGAGATGCCCCCGCGAGGGCCCCAAGAGCTCCCCACGACCCCCAAAAAGAACCCCAAGGAGACCCCGCGATCTTCCAAATAGTGCCAGTAGGGCCGCGAGATGGCCCCACGATGGCCCTAACAGCACCTCCAGAAGACCCAAGACGGCTGCCAGAGTCTTCATCCTCCTCATCCTCTCTTCCTTCTCCTCGTCTTAATCTTCCTCCTCGCCTTCCTCTTCCTCCTCGTTCTCCTCATCGTCCTCCTTCAGGTTCTCGTCCTTCTCCTCGTCCTCCTCCTCCTCGTTCTGGTCCTCGTCCTAGGTCTGACCAGGCTGATTCATACATCGTTCCAACGTATGCGCTTACTATCCTGTTCAAGGCAACTCGCCTGGGAATTGTTCTAGATTAGGCCAGCCTCGAAACTTATCCCTACCTCGCAGGTCGACAAGCCCAAGGCGATGACCATCTTATGGATGCGCCCTCAGAAACTGAAGGAACCCTCAACATCAATAACGAGATATCGCGGTGTCAATGATGAAAGCAGATCAGCATGGTAAAATACGCGTGAACGAAAGTCACGTGGATCCGATCTCTCCGTCGTCTGGAACATAGACCGGTGCCTGGAAGCCAGGTGTGTCCGACTCTTTCGCTGAAGTAGATCGACCATTACGACCAACAACAAGGACCAACTTGGAAGGAATTTGACTACCTATCAAACCACCCCAACCCAACCCGAAGATGCGAATTTCGGGTTGTGGGGGGGGTACGGGTTCCATGTGTTTTTTCAATGGTCCTCGACACCCCGCCACTTGAAATGGACGGCAAAATGAGGTCTTCGGGTTGGGTTGGGGTGGTTTGGGGGGTGGTGAGGGATTGGGTCCACGCAGTCTTGGACGTGCAGCTCAATGCTACGTTTCGACTTGGATGGCAGAGCATCCGGCGCCACCCCTGGCGCGCCCCGCGGATGCAATCTGTGTCCCCCTTGCCCTCTGGTAGCACCTGGAAGACTGGCCGAGGAGAAAAACAGGGAGAGGAGGCAAAGGACCAGTGTAAGCACAAGGCGCGTCTAGGATGTTGCGTTGTTCGCTCACTCCAAGTTCCCTCTTCACCAGACCCGATTGAAGAAAGTATTGCCAATGCGGGAGGTGACCCCTTAGCAGACAGCCGTATAAGCACACGCAGTACTGCCGAAACGCAATCCCTGGGACTTCAACGCAGCGGATCAGCTTGACTGTTGAATCCGAGAAAATTCCGAAGCCGCCCCAGAGAACTTGTCCCAGGGACTTCAACACTGCGAATCAACGTGACTGCTGCGGCCTGACGAGTCTGACTCGTGTCACAAACCCCTTTTGTTGTACTCCGACCATGCGAATATGTAAAACGATTCAACTTTCAGAATACTAACATGTGCTCGGCGCTGAGGCGACAACCCGCCGTCCAACCGTGAATATGGTGTAGACATGAGGACGACTGTGCGCGGCGCCGAGGCGAGATCACCATTCTGATCACGACCAGCCCTCCATCAGTAAAGCTGCTGCAAGCGTTTCAGACGCATTTGTGCAGCGCTGCGGCGAGAACCACATGTTGAAAACTAACCGCCTTCAACCCGCGAAACGGATGCAAAAAATGAAGACGAGTGTGGGTGGCGCTAAGGCGATAACCACAATTGGAAAGGACCCGGCCTCCAACTGCGGAGCAGTTGTAAACTTTGACGACGACTGCGTCCAGCGCTGAGGCGAGATCACCACGTTGAAGAAAAGGTCCGCCCTCCATCCGTGATGCTATTGTGAATTCTTGGACGAATGCGCGCGGCGCTGAGGCGAGAAACTCACTTCGAAAAGAACCCGCAATCAAAGTGTGAAAAGTTTGCAAAGTTCAAGATCCAGGGTCATAAGTGGCGAGGACGTCTCAAGCGAAACGCCCAGCCCGCCGTGCCCGCACGTCTAGGGGTGCGACAGGGGAGAGCTCTTTACAAGAAAAAGGACGGAGAGGATGGGGAGGGGGAGGATGGGGAGGAGGATGGAAGAGGGGGGGAGGGGGAGGCGGAGGATGGAGAGGATGGGGGGGATGGGGAGGAGGATGGGGAGGGAAGGGGAGGGGGAGGGGAGGATGGGGAGGAGGATGGGGACGGGGAGGATGGAGAGGATGGGGAGGAGGATAAGGAGTAATTAGGAGGAGGAGGAGGAGGAGGGGGAGGAGAGGGAGGAGGATCGGGATCGGGATCGGGCCCGGGGGACTTCGTCTGCTGCTGCTTACCACCTGCCAAACTAACGCCTATCGAGAGCGACGCCCGGGATCTCTGGGGAGAGAGGAAGGAGTAGGAGGAGGAGGAGGAGGAGGAGGAGGAGGAGGAGCAGGAGCAGGAGCAGGAGGAGCAGGAGGAGCAGCAGGAGGAGGAGGAGGAGGAGGAGGAGGATCACTGACCTTGCTTCCAGGTCTGCGAGCGGGCCGCTATTCACATTTACTCGGTGGAGCAGGAAAGTCCGGCGAAGTGCTAATGGGGGACACTCTTTGCTTGGGAAACCTCAACTCGCAGCCTGTTGTAGGGGGTGCTAGATGGGGCCAGCCCGGGCTAGCAACCCCAATAAGGTTTTCCAGAGGGTTTCCTAGAGGGTGGCAGCCAGCGCGTAGCGGTCGCAGCAACCGCCTTCTGGTGGCTGAACGGCTGAACGACCCTGCCCTCCCCCGAGGTTGTGGGGGGAGGTGCCGACGAGCAGGGGCGCAGTGTTGCGAAGGGGGGAAGCGGAAGTTGTCACAGGTTGATGCGTCCACTTAGAGAGGTAGAAGGAGGAGGCAGTGAATCGGGCCTAGCAGATGGGCGGCGGAACGCGAGCTCGAGGAAGAGCGGTGGGGGCTCTCACGCTGGGGAGAGGGGAAGGGAGTGGACTGAAGAGGAACGAGGAGGCGGAGGAGGAGGAGGAGGAGGAGGAGGAGGAGGAGGAGGAGGAGGAGGAGGAGGAGGAGGGAGGGGGCCCCTCCTCCCTGTGCTCCCCGGTGTGGAGCCCTGACCAGGCTCGCGCTGCGCATCCGGGGCGCCCGCGCCGCCGCGGCGAGCAGCGTCAGCACGCCGTCGGCGCCGAGGCCAGAACGGTAGGCGCAGAGCTCCTGGAGCGCGCAGCCTGGCGGGGAGGGCCTCGGCTCAGCTCGGCTCTGTGCTGCAGCCTGGATAGATGATGCTCAGAACGTCTGTTGGCCCCCACGTGTGTTTGTCCATCGAGGCCCTTCGATACGACGCAGGCGATGTAATGATCAACTGGTTGGGCTGAAGGGGGCAACACACACACACACATTGGGCTAACACACGTCCTGAGGATCATCCACTGGAGCTGGTGCGCAGCGTGTCGCCACGGCGGCCCCGGCGACAAGCTGCCCTGCGAGCGGATGGCGTGTCGCTTCGCTCCGCCAGGCGGGAGGCCCAGGAAGGCTCGGGATGTTGAAGTCTGGAAACTGA